GTTAATGGCCCTTAACGCTTTATAAATTATAACAACACTGTAATACGTACCGTTAAAATTCCGAATAATATCTTGGAATTGTATTTGACAGAAGGGAACTCCGACTGAGGTAACAATTCCCTAACTGGAGAAATCCCACGTATGAAACCACGACGACAAAGGCAACGGGAAAGCCCAACGCGTTCAGTTGAACGTTGTTCTGGTTAACAGAGTCGGCGGCGGGGTGGTTCTAGCTCTCCCTGGGGTCATTGCGTTGTGTTCTTGGGTCTCAGGAGCATCAATGGGTACCAGAGAAATGTTGGGCCGGCAACCAAGCAAAGAGCTGGGGAGTAACTAGCGATAGACCAGCATACCATCCAGGGGGGAATAGAAGTACTACTAGCCGCTTCATGATGCACCGAGAGCTATGAGCCAGTTCGACATAAGAGGCTTTACTTACCTCAAGAGATTATCTCTTGCTTATGTTTTATGATTTTATCTTTACTAGTGTTTTATGTGTTATGATTTCTCTTTGTTAAATTATTTGTATATGTGTTTTTTATATTTTATCGATGTTAAAACAGTAATAATGCATTTTTAATATTATTCATTGTAATTTATTTTATTCCTTATTTATGTTGTGACTAGACCTGTGAAGTAGCTTTCTATGTAGCTAAGAGTCANCAACAACGTGAAATGACCAAATACTAGCCTGCGAGGTTCACCGTCGTCATTGAATAAATTTAACTTACTGGCGATGCATAGTGGACACTACAGGACAAACAGTTGTGAAGAATACCCGGCGGGTATATGTAGAGGATGTAATTAGGTGACAGCACGACGACGCTCGAAACACTTGATGGACATCAAGACAAAACACTGAAATACTCATATGAACAACACAAAATTTCACGGTAACTGCAGAAATTCTCGCACGCTCATTGGCTAATTTTTCATTGTTAATAAGCGGACAGACACATGAATTTATAATTTATGCGAGGCGGCAACGAGCGAGAGCGGAGAATTCGAAAATTTGTTATAATTATCGTAAAAAACAAATTGACGTCAGTTTTTCATGTGTCTGTCCGGTTACTGACAATGAATTTCGTCATAACACTGTCAATTGAAAGTAGTATGCGGATCCACAGCTACTTTGACAATGTTATGACGAAATTCATGATCAGTAACAGGACAGACGCATGAAAAACTGACGTCAGTTTGTTAAGCAAACGATTTTTGGAAAACTTACATGTAAGAATCCTTTTGATGACAAGCGTTTTACCCCTTTGCTGTGCGAGTATCAATTCGTTAGTATAGCAAATACATGGCATTTTATTACTCTTTAAAAGTCCTCTCTTATTTGAATACCGCTTACTGAACCGAGTTCGAGGTCTGTACTGTAAGTTACGAACTGAGATATTTAC